TGCTCTGTGCTCTGTATCTTTCTCAAATAAATAAATAAAATCTTCTAAGAAAAAATTCTGTTAGTCTACTAATTGCAGGCTGTAGACAATTCATTGTTAAGAAGCCGGCATTGTCTACACACAGAAATCTAAACTAGCACAAAATGGAAATTCTAAACCAAAATCAGATGTGAAAACTTTAATTAAGATATTATCTTAGGAAGTTGAATCCAGGAGTGTACTAAAAGAAAAATAAGCTATCATTCTGACCAAATAAGGTTAATTTCAGAAATGAAAGGATGGGTCATCATTAACAACAACATGTGTTTTATGTCAAATTAAATGATAATAAGGAAATAATAACCAGGCATTTGTTAGAATTCAGCAACAAAACTCTCAAAACATGAATAGAAAAAAAAAAACAGCTTAAACATAAAAAAGATTATTTGCCAAAACATCAGATTGAATGGTGAAAAACTGAAGTCATTCTTATAAAACCGGAAACTAAAAAAGGATCCTGGCTAGTAACATTATTGTAATTCAAAACTCTATAGACATTCTAATAATATAATACGAAAACTAAATGTGTGGCTTAAATATTAAAAATGAATTAAAAAAATCTTTATTTGAAGATTACATGGTTGCATACCTAAGAAACCTGACATTGTACTAACACGGTTTCAGTTAATAAGAAATTTGATAAGATGGTTACATAACACAAATATATAAAGGCCAATTGCTTTTCTCTATATTAGAAACTAATTAGAAATGGAAATGGCAGAAACTTGATTAAACTATACTTAGTTATAAATATAAGAAGGTAAAAGACCTACAGAAATTATAAACTTTATCAAAAGTTTAATAAAAAAACTCAATAAAGGAGATTTATTGGAAACCTTCAAATTAAAAAAATTAAATCCTTCCCACATTGTAAATGTAACGTGATGGCAATTTTAAATCTCAACCGTATCATTCTGGAACTTTATAATTTTCAAGGATTCTTATGGAAGAATACATACATTTTCAAAGAGAAAAACGGTGAGGGGAACCTTTCCAAATTAGATAATAAAGCTAAATATAAAATAATATGGCACTGACACAAGAATGGGCAGACCATTCAGTGGAAAAGAAAAGATACATTAAAAATGTATCTGTAATAATATATATATATATATATAAATTTTTGGAAATTCAAAAATATATATACATGTATATAAATTTACACGTATTCATGTATACATATATATAAATGTTTGGACTCTTTATTCTGTTATTACTCTGCCCATCACTGTGTTCATTCACGTGTGTATACACATAGTGTGATAGTGGCAGTCAGTCCATTCTCAATGAGAAGAGAGGGGATGGTTTATTTAGTAAATGAAGCTGGTATTAACTGATGGTTCACGTCTACAAGAAAATAAAATTACATCCTCATTTTAAATATATCTATCAAGAATTAATTTTAGCCATGTTAAAGACTATACTTTAGTAAAAAAACACTTTAAGTATTAGAAAAAAGAGTAAAGATTACTTGTATAAATCTGAAAAGGAAGCTAAAGAGAGAAGAAGCAGGACTTCTAAGACAGGAAACCCAAAGACCGCTAGTAAAAAGAAAAACAAGCCCAAGTGTCTGTCAAATTCCCCACACCCACAGCTGCTACTCCCAGAGGTTATAAGTGTTTTATAAATACTACTGTATATCAACATTTTGAGGAATATTAATACTGTCTTCTCAACAATATTTTCAGCAATATATCAGGCATCCTCCTCCCCATGGTCTTGCTCAGGTTTTCCTATAGTATGTGCTGAAAATGGCTTCAACAAATCTCTCTTGGGAGAGACTGAAATTGCAGGACCCTGATCATCTTGCTGCTCAAGTTGAGCCTCAAGTGTTTCTCTCCAACCCTGATGATGCTGGGGTGGGGGCTGTGTTCAAGGTCTGTAGGGAGACCATCTAATATAGAGAGAATTGTCCGTGGCCTCCTCCTGGCCATGTTGAAGATCTCCAAGGCAAGTAACAGCATTTTTCCACTTAAGATTATGTAAGGGTCCTTTGTCCTGATAAAGTCTTGAAGGCACTGAATAAATAACATCTATTAGGAAATATGGTAATGCTTAGAGATATTTCCAGAGGAAGCAACTGGGCAATAAGCATTTATGTCTTCTTTTAGGTCTCTGATGTGAGCTGAAGTATAGTCCTTTTATGTGTACTACTTAAATGATATTTCCCAAATAGTATTTTTTAAGGCACTAAAAAAGTCAGTTTATGAGTCAACTAGTGATAAAAGACTGAGGATTAAATTCTAAATATTCATTTATAAATTCATTTACAATTTAATTTATAAACATTTATAAATTTCATTTACAGATCTATATATAGCAAATATTTTCAGATTTTTGTCATTTTATGTCTGGTCGTAAGCACTTATACAGATATCTCCCATTTAGTCTTACCTTTTAGACGGAGGCATTTACTCCCATGTTACTAAAGAAACTGGAATGTTGAATTCAGAAAGTTGGCAAAAAGAGTTTATGCAATGCCACAGAAAAAAAATGTCTTCCTGGACCTGCATCTCATGTCTGCTTGTTCACGGTATCTCAATAGACTTTGATCTCAGACGCCTAGGTGGCTCAGTGGTTGAGCATCTGCCTTCAGCCCAGGGTGTGATCCTGGAGTCCTGAATTGAGTCCCACATTGGGCTCCCTGCATGGAGCCTGCTTCTCTCTCTGCTTGTGTCTCTGCCTTTCTCTCTCTCTGTGTGTGTCTCTCATGAATAAATAAATAAAATGTTAAGAAAAATAGATTTTGATCTGTATAACTATCTTTCTTGGCATATGTCAGACCACCTGTGATTTTAATTAGTTATATTTAACTGAGCACTTACTATGTGATTGGGATAATTGGTTGTTTTTATTCTAGGTACTGGCAAAAAAGAAGTCTGGAAACCTTAGACTTAGAATAAAGCTTATACTTTATTTCTGATTGACTTGGTGAGAAAAAAAAATCACTAATGCTTGGCTTAGATGACTAGATGGTCTACTGGCTAAGTCAATTTGGACATAGAATTTATTAGAAATGACACCATAAGGGACTAGGTCTTGGGGAGTCAACTCTGGAAGGAATCTGATCTGAGAAGAATCTTTCAGTATCTAACTGAAAAGCAGAAGTTTTGGGAACATAGATTCTGAGAGAGGGGTCTTTGCCATCTTTTCTATCTAACCCCTAAAACACATTGTGGGCAGAAATGGGCAGCTGGCAGCCTTATCATTCTAGTGAATGCAGGCTCTATGGATCAACTGGCTTCTCTGTGACCTACAGGAGCTTTGCTTTCACTAGAATGGAAAATGGTGTTTCTACCATGCAGTGTATCAGCTTGTTCATCTCAGTACAGGCTAAGTGAATACAGCTCAGTGAGTCCAAATTCCATCTTGATTTCTTCAGTTTGTTACTAACTTAAAGACTGAGCATTTTCTGAATTGCTTGACACAGGGAATTCCTGCTCCTCCAAGAAGTTAACAGATGTGCCCACTGACAGTGCTAAGGTGTAAGATAATCATCTCAGGTCTATAACTAACTCATTCATCCAATCCATCCAAAAAAAAAAAAAAAGTGACATTTCCCCCCCCCCCCCCATGGCACTTCTTTGCATCTTAAAAAAAAAAAATCATGGGGTATTTCTTTGTCCTTTCTTCTTTCTTTCCTTTTTTTTTTTTTTTGAACTGCAGATTTATTAATCCCAAATTATCAGAGTCTTCTTGGAAAGTACATATCTACATGGATAAGTAAGTACATGCAAGTGTACACTGGCAATTGAGCACTTTCTTAAGTAAGTTTTTGTACATATTTAAATAACACGACTTAATTGCGAAATTTTCTCTGCCACTTTTGAAATTGTATTACTTACATTAGGGATCACAAGGGAGTAACTAGCTTAGTAACCAGTTTATCACATTAAAATGTATTTTTGATGTATGCTAATTTCAAAAGGCTCATAGGGCCGTCAGCATGCTTTAGTGGGCTGCATACAGTATTGGGAAGAATCTGTATCTATCTCTGCGGCAAGGCACCAAATTATTGGCGGAGTGTTCCACATTCAGGAGATAGCAGCCAATACTTATCTTCTGCACCCACACAAAAAATGTCATTTAGACTAAAAAAGGGAGTTGACCATCGCAGTGTCAATTATAACATCATTCACCTTCGGTCTTAAAAAAACTGAAGGCAAAAACAAACAAAAACAAAAAAAAAACCTGAAGACAAAACTTCGTAGAACAACATGATGGATCGTGTGAAGGTTTAAACATTTTCTTTTAGCAATATCTGGAAATAGGAGGTGTGTGCTTAATTAAAATCTCAGGATACTAAGCTTGTGAGTAATTAAAGTCACCTAAAACCCATTTATTATGGAGAGCTGGCGTTGGGAGGGGCCTAAAGAAAGTGAAACTCCCCACCCCAGCCCCAGCCCCAGCCCCAGCCCAGCCCCAGCCCCAGCCCCAGCCCCAAGGAAACCCCTGGGGCCCAAGGAAGTTCAAGGGCTCTCTCTCCTCAGGGCAGGTGGACGAGGAGCAGCCACGCACACCCGGGGGTCGGCTTTCCAGCGCTCTCCGTCCTCCTCTCGGGTATCTCTGTACTTAGAGAAGTGGTAAAATAATCAGGGAGACCCCAGGCCCCGGCCTTCACGTGTTAGTCAACCTACTACCAAGGAAGAGTCACTAATCCGTCGCAGCACCTTCCGAAAGCGACCGGCCCAGGTCAGATCCCAAGGTCCCCTTTCCAGTGCCGAGGGCGCGGAGGTCGCCGGCCGCGGAAGCCGCCCAGGGAGGAGCTGGTCCGGCTCCCACTCCGGGGCGCCCCGCGCGGCGCGGCGGGGGCTGGGCTGGGGGCGCGGGCCCGAGCCTCCCGGGCCCCGGCGCCGCCCCGCCCCGCTCCCGCCCCGGGCCGCCGGCCACCTCCCCCGGCGCGGGCCTCCGCCGCGGGCCGTGCGCTCGAGGGTCGCGGGTGCCGGGAAGGGGCGGCGTACCTCCGACTCGGGCGTGGTTCCCGCCGGGGTCGTCGCCGCGGGGGTCGTTCCCCCGGGAGTGGTCCCCAAGGACGCCGTCGTGACCTCGCCCCGGAGTTGCGGCCCTCCGTCGCCTAGGCAACCGGGGCGGGGCCAGGAGCGCGAGGGGGCGGGGCCCGGGCGCGAGGGGCGGGGCCCGAGGCGCGAGGGGCGGGGCCCGAGGGGCGGGGCCCGAGGCGCGAGGCTCGGGGACGCATCCCTCCGCGAGGAGGCTTCTGGGTGGCAACGTGGGCCCCGAGGGGGGGGAGTTGGGGAGAGGGGGAGGCGGGGCGGGGCGGCGGGAGAGCGGGGCGGGGGGCGGGGGGCGGCGGGCTGCGGAGCTGCGGAGCTGCGGAGCTGCCCGGAACGCAGAGCCCGCTACCGGGCTGCGAATCCGTGGCTGGAGGCAGGCTCGTCCCTTTTAGTAACAGAGCAAGGAGGGAAAGAAAGGAAATTTAAAGAACAGCAGTTTATTTTATTTTATTGTTTGATTTTTTCTTAAGAACAGCATTTTAAATGTTAGTAGGTGGGGAAACGTCTAATGCTAACAGCAAGTTCTCAAATATTAAAGTGAGATAGATTATTGGAACTTGATCATTGATTTTTGATATTAAGGAGTTATTGTAATTTTAAGGCCATATGCTGTTATTGTCATGTTTAGAAGAAAAAAAAATAGTGTCCTTGTAGAGAGATACGTAGTGAAAGATTTAGTGATGATGAAGAGATGTAATATATGCATTTACTCCAAAATCATGAGGGGAGGGGCTTGGGTCCTTGAGTGGAGTTATGGCAGGTGAATCAAGATTGGGTACGTGGAGGGGCGGGGTGGTCCTTGCACCACTCTTTCTATTTTAGACACGTTTGCAGTTTTCCATAATAAAAGCATTTAAAAGCAATATATTTAAGATACCTGGGTGGCTCAGTGGTTGAGTGCCTTCCCTTTAGGTCTTGATCCCCCGCCCCCCCCCCCCCCCTCCTGGGATCTAGGAGCCTACCTTTCCCTTCTACTTATGACTTTGCCTCTCTCTCTCCGTGTCTCTTTATGAATGAATAAATAAATCTTTAAAATAATTTAAAAATGTTATATTTAGTGGCCGTATTAGTATTCCCTGGATGACAACACCTGCTTTGAAAATTCACCTTGTATTTACCTGCGTGGGCGATGCTATGCAGAAAGTTTACTATAAAAATCAGACATTAAGTTTACTATAAAAATCAGAGTGCTTTGGTTTCCCCATCTGGGAAATGAGATGGTAACAGTGCCTGCCTCATAGCATCGAGGATTTAACATGTTAATATATGAGGATTTTACACCTGAGGATTTAGCATGTTAATATATGAGAATGTTTAGAACAGTGTCTGGCACCTGTGTTAGGTATTATTAAGATTAGTATTAGTTTGTATTGTGTTTCTCCTGATGTTAATCCACCCTGTACTCAGCTGCCAGGATAATATTTCTTTTTTTTTTTAATTTTTTTTTATTTATTTATGATAGCTACAGAGAGAGAGGCAGAGACACAGGCAGAGGGAGAAGCAGGCTCCATGCACCGGGAGCCCGACGTGGGATTCGATCCCGGGTCTCCAGGATCACGCCCTGGGCCAAAGGCAGGCGCCAAACCGCTGCGCCACCCAGGGATCCCCAGGATAATATTTCATTGTGGGCCTCTTATATGTGCCCAATGCCTCTCAGGCCAAATTGAACACTTTAGTGTTACATAGCCTCATGATAATTGTGCCCGATTGCCTCACAGTTCAAGTTATACACACAATTTGTACTGTCAACTTGTGTTCCTGGAGTCTCTCATTTTGTGTATGTTTGGTCATTCTTTCAAGGGTCTGGCAGTGTCGTTTCCTTGATACCTTCACTCCTAAAGAAACTGGTTTCGTTCCTAATACAGAGTAGTTATTCAACAATGTGTTTATGACTTCCAACCCCATTTAAAAAGGACTATGTTAGAACTTCCTCAATTAGTGAAAATATAGTCCATTTATAGTGATTGCCAGAGTTAATACAAGAGCTACCACCTCACAAACTCAATACAATGCTTAATTATTTGATTGTTTCCTTTGATAGCTACTTCAAAGAAATTGAAAATAACAAGTCACCTTCTGCTAGGTGACAACTCTCCACATTCTTTCAATTTAGTATTTGGTAAAGTGCTAAAGCATTGATCTCTCTAAACTGCAGTTCTGGTTTCCTCAAAGATGTGATTTATTTTTCTGGCCTTTAATTGTCCTGCTATTTCTTAAACAGTGTTTAGGTTTTCTGTGCCCCTTTTTTGGAACTAGATGGATACTACATTAAAGATGGAATCAATTTCCACCGTGATGGGAGAGTTGCCGGATAGAGGGGAGAATTGTTTTGTAGGAATTCCGTTTTTACTGTATTTAATGGTGTAATTTATTGGAGAAGTCATTTTCAAGGAGGTAATTTAATTTTATGGGACACAAAATTTTTTGCCCAGTAAGGAGTGGTGTTGAAAGCCCATTAGCCCAAAGGTTACTTTTAATTTGCACAAGTTGAAGCTGATTTTAGCCTCCCACTTCTTTTGTAGGGAGGTGCCAACAAGGAAGACAAATCTCAGTAGGTGATGTGCTTTCTTACATGGAAAGGTCAGTTAAGTCTTCCTTCTCAGGTCTCTTTTGAAGATAAAGGCTTCTAACCAAAGGCTGTAAAATTCCATTTTTTTTTATCTTATTGTTGTAGGACGGAAGAGAAAAGGAAACATATAGGTCTTGTAGTTTACAATTATTGCTTGAAAAGACCTTTGACTTTTACCACATCACAGTGAAATATGGGATAGCTTGATACTGTTATTTTGATCAATTGGATTGGCCCCTGTTCTCATGAAAGTACTCCCATCTATATACCTGTAATCCTGTATGTAGCACATTTTTTTGAAGAGAGGCACTTTCACAATTTTGCCAGTTCAAGTATTGGATGTTTAAAATAAACCATACTTTTAAATACCTGAGAAACATTTAGGAAAGGACTGGATGTTGATGGTCTCTAGTGTGGCACTATATGGCAATGAGCAGCGACAATGAGATGTCAGCTGACTTTTTAGGGTAAGGAAACATTTCATGGTGCCTGTGTTGCTGACTCCTTTTAAGTATGAATGAAATTCTTCAACAACAAATGAAATAATATCACTAATGCGATTAATGACGTACTGGTAGTTCAAACAATGTGATTCCTGAGGTCTTCAATCTATTAATACTCCTGATGGTCTTAGGTGGATCAAACTGGAAAAAATTCCAATGTGTCCCTTAAGTGGTTCTGAGACACCACAAAGTCCTGCAGATAGAATTTAGATAACACATTGTATCTTAGCTTTGAAATATGTTTAAACTGTTAGATGTAGAAAGAAAAAAAAATACAAAAGGCATTTTAATGTGAGTAATTGCCTTCATTCTCTGTTACATATTGAATTTTAGCCAAGAAAGTATTACAATAGCTAATCAGTTTTGAAATATATTTAGTTTTCTCCACCTTTACCGAATCCTCAAATCTGGCCTTCTCATTTCAACCAAGGGCTTTAATCTTTTCAAGTCCTAAGTGAGAACATTTTAAAGCTTAATAAAACACGTTTAAGAGATGGCATAGTAAACCTACTTTAGTAGAGTTAAGTAGTTCTAAGACTAAAATATAGGAGGGGGTAATGATTTTAAATAAATAGTTGGTACAGTTTTGACACTGTTCATTACCTGCAACTTGTCTTCAAAACTCTATCCTCTTTATTGTGGGTATATCTGTTTTTACTTCTTTCTCCAGTTACTCCCTTTACAGTGGATCCTTACACTGTTCAAATGAAGACTCCAAGTCTCTTTGCTAAATCAGAAAATACTCTCTTTTCCTAATCCAGAGACCTCTTTAAGATAGTTTTGTAACTCATTCTTTTTCTTCCTGATCAATTTATTGAAAAAGTGGGACCTTATTCCTCATCTCTCTTTAAACGACCCCATACCCTTACTTCATTTGCTTTCCTCAAGCTGTTCCCCCTCAAGGACTGCCATTAGGCTCTGTCTTCTTTGGTGTGTGGACATTCTCTATTTGCCTTTTATATCCACTCTTTTCCTTCTCCACTTGGCCTTGTGACCTGGAGGGTTGACTGACCATTATGGACTCCAACAGCTTGACTTACTACACTCCTTGCCCTCCAACTTGTGGTTCAGTTTGGCCAATGAAAACACCAGTAGGGGGTGGAATGGGGAGGAGTGTGATCAGGGTCATTTATTCTCCCTTGTTTCCTCCCTGCAGGATTATAGGCAGGAAGTAGTAAGTTCCTATGCCAAAAGCCTTCAAGGCCATAGCCCATCCCTTAGCTTCTCCAGAGCACTATGGCTCTCTCTGGGTTTTGCCCTAGGAGCAGTAATGCCTCCCTCCACAGGATGGTTCCCTGTCCCTTGCTGGTTTCCCTTATGTCTGCCCCCATGTTTATAAATAGCTCCTTTACTAAACTTTCCTCATTTCCCACCTTTTGCCATCTGTTTCCCGCTGGTACCTTGAATGATCTCAGCAAAAATTAACTCTAGAACATTTAACACGGAAGACTAAGCCTGGCTTGCTCAACCCTATTGTTGTCCACCATTTGGTTGTTTTGCAATGAGCAATATCGTCTATAAGAAATCTTGAACAATTATTTAGGTAGGACTACACCCCACCCTCACCCATTCTTTACCTGGAGGAGCTGCACCCAAGTTCCACTCCCCTGAGGATTGATGGAAAGCAGGGGAGTACTGGAACTACCCATGGGATCTGTGTCATCCATGTCCTAAGCAGCTGTCTGTCTCAGACAGCTCATATAAACTCCTGGCTCCCCAAATTCTAACCTTTGGATACCAGACAGCCTACATAGTTCTCCTGTTGACAAAACTTTAAAATTTGTCCTATAGAAACACAAAATAACAGATCACCTGGGCCGAGGCCCAGGTCCTGCTCTCTCCATGAGTGATGGGAAGTGCCTGGGAGAAGTAGTGCCTTCTCTTTATATTGATCCTAGCCCTGAAGGTTTGAACTTTCCCATAAAACCTCGGATGCCATGTGGTATGAAATTCATCTGGAAACCAGTAGGACACACCGGGCAGGGGAGTGGCTT